TTTTCAGGTTGCACACTCACAGAAGACTAAGATCCCTCTCTATACACACACACAACTTACAAGTGGTTAATAGGGCCAGGGATTTAGCTCAGTGGCACTGTGCCTGCCTTGCAAGTGCAAGATCCTGAGTTCAATCCCTGGTACCAAAAAAAAAAAATGGTTAATATACCTATATACTATCTGTTTATACTATGAGGTTGAAAGGGAGGATCAAGTCAATTATAACAGAAAAATAACAGTAATTCTCTAACTCTTCTAAATCTCTATTAATTTAAAGTCATCATCTTGCAAAGCAGGCAGCCAAACCACTGAGCTAAATCCCCGGCCCTATTCATCATCTTTATTTATAGTCTTTGTAGCTAAACAGATCCTGGGCATTTCTCTTCATGAGAGCAAACTGGGATCCTATACTAGGGGAATGACCTAAAACCTTGCTATTCAAATGTAGTTGCGGCTGGCTGTGTAGTTCAATGATAGGCTGGAGAAGAGAGTCTGCCCCTTCCTCTGTGCCACTAGAAACACTGGTATCACCTGGAAACTTTTTAGAACTGAAGCTACTGTTCCCATCCCTGAAGCCTACTGAAGAAGAATCTGAACAAAATCCTCAGGTAAACCTTAGGCATATTAAAATCTGAGAAACAGTGATTTAAAATACTTCCATGTAGTGCAGCACCCTATCTAAAACAATCCAAATAGAAAAAAAGGGCCTGGAATGTAGCTCAGTGGCACCACGCCTGCCTCGTACGCACACAGTCTTGAGTTCGATCCCCAGTACCCCCCTCAAAAAAAAGAAGATAAAATGGAGGGAGGGAGAAAGAGTAATTCCTAAAGTGCTGCACTGATATATATTTTGACCACAAACTAATCAGGTATGATTTATTTGATAAATAAACTAGCTTTTAAAAAGAATTTCAGAAGGGCCGAGGATTTAGCTCAGTGGTTCAGCCACCTGCCTCGAAAGCACAAGGTCCCAAGTTCGATCCCCAGTACCAAAAAAAAAAAGAATTTCAGAGGCTGAAGTTCAATTTATGTACCCACTTGACAAGCACTTATTTATTGTTTGCCACATAAGTAAAAAACACTGTAAGACAATTTCCTCCTTATATAAAGCTTCCAGTTAAGTAGAAGGGACATACATACAAATAACACAGGAGAAGGCCCAAAGTGTTGAATGTTGGGATGCAGAGGTATATGGAGGTCTAGAAGGAAATTCATGAAGTGGGGGAGAAGGACAATTAAAAGATTCCTGTGGTCTAGGAGCCAGAAATTTATGGCTAATTAATCTATTTAGGATGAGACAGCTGTGGCCCACATAGCTCAGTGGCCCACCTTCCAGCAGAGTTTAGTAAACAGTGATAAGAAAAACAGGCTCACTAATAGAAGACCTGCTGCATTAACTGCCTGGCAGTCAGCCAAGCCTTTGGCTGGCCAAAGGGTATCACTGGTCATCATAAAATGGGATGATTTGACAATGCCAACACCACCCTGTGTCCACTGTATGCTGCCACAGAATTGGGTTGTAAGTACTGAGGGTATATGGAACACCCAGCCGCATGAACAACTTAAGGGCTGCTGATCTCACTCTGGGTAGCTAAGGCAGACACACCAGGCAGGACAGTAAGAAAAATTAAAAATGGGGCCGGGGATTTAGCTCAGTGGCAACATGCCTGCCTCGCAAGTGCAAGGTCTTGAGCTGATCCCCGGTACAAAGAAAACAAAAACAAAAACAAAGAAAAAACAAACCAAAGAGTAAATTAAAAGAGTTCAATACTGACTCCAAAATGGATAATGATGGTGGTGGTGGTGGTAATGATGGTGATGATGATGATGATGATGATGATGATGACGACAACAGCTAAAACTTTATATGTTATCATTTTTCCAGAATGAATAGAAATACCAATAGTCTATTGCCCCAAAGAATGGCATGTGAATGTCAATGAAGATACTTAAAGCCAAGCCCGGGTCCATTGTGCTTCCTTTACACACAGTTCATTCAAAGACATGAGAATCTGAAAAAACCCTCAACCCAGGTTCCCAAAGGCAACCATCACCTTAGTGATGTACTTTCAAAGACTGTAACTTTGCTTATAAAGTGACCAATAACAACAGCCAATACATAGGTGTGAAAATCATAATAAAAGTAAAACATGATTGAAGAATTTCTGTTCAGCAAGATGTTGAATGAAAAGGAAGTTGCACGTGAGCAGATAAAGAATGACACTGTGTATAGTAAAATACACACAGAACCCAATACTACCTATTTTCTATACATAATCTAGCAGATTTGTGAAAGATATATACCAAAATGGAAACAGTAATTATTTTGGGGGAGGAGAAAATGCCCAGAATTGAGATTAAAGAGATTTCAACTTTAGTTAAAATATTTTGAGTTTTTAAAATATTTGTAATGTTAAGGGGAAGATGGCGGAGTGGTGAGCAGCAGAGAAAAAGCTTCTCTGAGATTTGGTGTCCTTACACTGGAATAGGGGTAGGGGGTGTTTCCCAGGACCCAGTGAAGAGAGAGACTTTAACGAAGAGGAGGGAGGTACCAAGCAGCACTCTCTCTCAGAGCCTGGACTCTCCATGAGGGAACCGCAGGCCAAAACTGTGGACGCACAATGTCTACTGACCACCCTAGAGGCCTCTGCAGAGAAATGCACCAGTGAAATGGACCAGTGGATGAACCAGATTGCATCGGCTGGTGAGTTATCCAGATTCAAACCTCACCCAGGAGAGGGTGATTGGCTGGTAGCCATCTTGGAGAGGGGCCAACTGAGCTTGGAACTCGGAACAGCTGTGGGCAGACTCCATCTAGTGGCTTCCGGTGCCTCAGGGCAGGTGCTGAGTTCAAGTCAGCAGGAGGTCAGGGAGCAGAGTTCAAGCTGGCAGGAGACACAGACTGTTGTAGGCTCAAAGAATCCGGTTCCAGCCTCATAGCCAGAAAGGTCCTGAACTTCAGAGGAACTAAAGGGGCAGGCTGGCTGGGATTATCCACTACCCTACTGTGAAGCTGCAGCTAGCTTGCTGGGATTAATCAAATTGGCTCTGGACTCTGTTTGCCCACATTGACAGCACAGACACATCTTGAATTGAACATTTTGGGGTTTATCTTTTTTCTTTTGTTTTTCCTCCTAATTCTTGTTTTGTTTGGTTTGGTTTTTTCTTGATTATCTGAACACAGTTTCTAGTTGTTGTTCTGTTCTTGTTTTTTTTTTCTTTACTCTTTCCCACCTGTCTTCTTCACCAATTTCCTAAAGTTTGTCCTCCAGCTTTGCTTCTGACCTCTTCTCCTCTTCTATTTTTTACCCTTAACCCATTTCAAATCTTCTCCCCTAAGGGTAAAAAAGCCATATTAAGGGGTACAATGTCATTTTCTAGGCTCTATTTGATGCTACTGTTACTGTTGACTGTACTATTTAGCCAAGGTGACATAATTGTGCTAATCAGTTGTTCCTCCTGGTATACTAAGATTGCCTAAGGGTCTTTAAAAAAAAAAGTACAAGCCAATGCCAAAGAACTGGCAGCTGGGCCAATTACACAGAAACTTCTCATCCCCAATATATCGAAGGGGTAGGATCCTGTAACAGACTCAAAAGCCAAAAGCTAGCTACACCTGAAAGATGCTTCTGAGAAGTAGTCATTTCCTAAGGGTTCTGAATACTGGCAATAAAGCTACTTTCCATAAGCAATTTAAAAGCATCAATTCAGGAATCAAACTAAAACAAAAAGAAATTTATAATGTTAAAACATGTCTGATTGGCCGGGGATTTAGCTCAGTGGTTCCGCCGCTTGCCTTGCAAGCACAAGGACCCAAGTTCGATCCCTGGTACCCAAAAAAAAAAAAAAAGAAAAAGAAAAGAAAACATGTCTGATCTATATAGTAAGAGAAAAAAAGCAAGATTCAGAATAGTGTGAATAGCATAAGCATGTTTTCAAGAATACACATTTATATATTTGTATAGAAAACATCAGAAAGATATATATCAGTTACAAACAATGGTTACTTCTAGGAGTTAAGACTACGAATGACACTTTTTACATTAAATGCTTTTCAATGTTTGGTTTTTATTCTCTGATATGTGACTTTTATAATACATTCATAAACTTTGTTTACTTCTCTGTCTACAGAAGAATTTTGCTCTGTAATGAAAAAAACCAAATTAACCAACTTTGTGATCTAGATGGTTCTACTTTGGATGCTTGCAAGCCAGGAGGCAACAAAATGAGAAACAAGGAACTACAAGCTACTAAAACATGGGCTAGGCACTCAAAATACACAAAAACGATTATTGTTTATATAACCTACTTCCAATGTTTTGATTTCATTTTTCTACTGTCATCATATTCCATGTGACATATGAGTATTCTCCTTTCTCAGGCTGTTAAATGTACATTTTCAGTGGGTATTTTGCCAAAGTTTTCTAGTGATCAAGGAGCCTGAGGACGGTATAGGCCCAATACCAGGATCTTTCCATCAGAACTTAAGGAAGACTCATGTACTAAATTACAGCTAAGTTAATCCTTAAACTGGATTAATATTTGATTCCCTCCATTTACCAAATCCATCCCCCCCCCACTACCATCTCTGCACACAGTATATCCCCACACTGACAAACTACAATAATGTGTAAAAACACATAAAGTATCTGTGGCATGTCACTCTCCACAGAGGTAGAAAAAGTGACTACAGCTGAATTGCCCCTTGACATCAGGCAGCATTTCACAGAAATTCAAAGACAAGGGTACTCTAAAACAGAAAAACCCCAAACTCAAGTCAAGCAGTTTTTTTTCAGTTGTTCAGGTCAAGAATCTGATAGCAAGTTGGATGTGGTGGTACACACCTACAATCCCAGCATTCCGGAGGCTGAGGCAGGAGGGGCAAGAGGATCATTGTGAGTTGGAAGCCAGCCTGGGCCACATAGTGAGTTCAAGATCAACCTGAAGTACAGAGCAAGACCCTGTCTCAAAAAAAAAAAAATCTGATAGCAAGCACTTACCCCCAAGACTCGGCCACGATGCTGAACATCCTCCCACATAAAATGAACCATGATACGACACATATATTTCCCACTCCGGCCTTCCTGCTTCATTCGGACTAGACACATCCTGGGTGAGAAGAAGACGAAGAGTTACTGGCTGTTTGTATTTTTCACACCATATATTTTCATGAAGGAATGATTTCAGCAAAGGGCACTGAATTGAAAAACCGGAAGTGACTTTATTTATTTAAAAGAAAAAAACTTTTACTGAAGTAGAACATGCACTGTAAATCTCATCAATCTTAAGTGTTAGTTTGATGAATTGTCCATGTTAGCATACCCAGATAAAGATGGGTTTTGTGTTTTTTTTGAGGTTTTTTGCAGTTTTTATTGACCCCAGAGCCTTTGCAGTAATGTACATACTGTACATTATGTCGTACTGTAGCAGACATCACTGGTCTTTGTATTTTATTTTAAGGAACAGTCTCACTAAATTACCCAGGTGAGACTTGAACTTGTGATCCTTCCTGCCTCAGTTTTCCGAAGTGCTGGAATTACAGGCATGCACTACTGCACCTAGCAAGATAGAATTTAGAGCACCTCACAAGGCTCCACTCCCCCTCATATGTGGAAGGAACCACATTTAGCTGTTAGAAGAAAAGCAAGTTAGAATCAATCCTTCCTTCCTTTTTTAGTTTTTTGTGACAGGGTCTCACTATGTAGTCCAGGTCAATCTTGAACTAAATATGTTGCCCAGGCTGGCCTCGAACTCATGATCTTCCTTCCTCAGCCTTCCAAGTGCTGGGATTACAGGTGTGAGCCACTATGCCAGCAAAATAAAAGTTTTAAAGAAGGAAAATAATTTGCTCAATACCACAGAGTAGTCTGTAAAGCTGAGTGCAGACTATGCTGTCCAAATAGTAACCACTATTACCTGTGACTATTGAGCACTATTGAGCTAGTCCCAAGATTTCAAAGATTTACAGTGGACCCTCAAGTTACAACTGGCTTGACATACGATCAACTTGGGCTAATTAGGTTAATGGAAGATTCATTTGCCTCTTGTTGTCTATAGCATGTACCCAGGTAAACATCCAGATCTCAGTTGTATTAATTTACACCCAACTTGAGTTACAACCATTCCTCGGGAACCAATCGAGTTTGTAAGTCAAGGGTCCTATACTTCAAGAAAAAAATATAAAATATCTCATTTTTATACTGCAAAGTGCTGAAATAATATTTCAGATCTAATGAGTTAAATAAAATTATGAAATTAATTTCATTTCTTTCTTTTTACTTTTGAGTTGTTAAAGAGCTAAATGGAGCTACTAGGAATTTTTATTTTTCTGGTTTTTTGAGACAGGATCTCCCTACGTAGCTCAGGCTGACCCTGAACTCACTATGTAGTCCAAGCTGGCCTCAGACTCACGCACAGTGAATCTCCTGCCTTAGCCTCCCGAGTGCTAGGATTACAGGGACGAACCACCAAGGCCTAGCTGAAAATTTTATACTATACTTCTTTTGGGTAACACTTATCTGAAAAGTATCACAGAAAGTACTTTAATTACATTTTTATAATTATCAAATTATTTCTCCAACTAAATGTAAACTCCATAGAAGACAAAGATCAAGTCTGAGTTTTTCAACATTGTATGTACTTACATTATATGTAAGTACAGCAGCACTCAGTAGATATTTGGAATATATAACTGAGTAAATATGAGGCCAACTTTGGGACCTTTTACTCTGTAGCATATTGCCTCTAATCAGCCTAGAGGGCTCTCTGTTTAGGACCTCATATAAAAATATAACAATTATTATGATTTATTAATTAATATATTTAATTACATATAAGAACATAAGCACCAACTTTTCAAGCTCTTAATCTCATTCTTATAACCATCTGATTTCTATTATCTTTCATTAGCTATTAAATAGCTATACTAGACTACTCATGTAAAAGACAATTTCTGGTATAATTATGGAATATTCAGCTAAACAATCTACCTCCACACACAACTGATCCTGCACATTAAAAATATATTAGGGGGCCGGGGATTTAGCTCAGTGGTTCTGCCACCTGCCTCACAAGCGCAAGGACCCCAGTTCGATCCCCGGTACCAAAAAAAAAAAAA